GGTTGCCCACGGTGAGGGCAGAGGTTGGTCTGCGGAGGAAGAGCTGGGGAGCCCGGGGTGCTGCACCCACCCCTCTGCCTGGGCCCCTGGCCAGCCCCCAGCTCTGTGGATCAGCCCCAGGAGCAGGATCTGAGCTGGCACCCACTCCCCAGGCTCAGGGGCAGGGGTCCCAGGCCGCGCCCCCCCCCCCGTGAGGATTTGTCGCCTCCCCACTGTCTCCTGAGGAGACCACAACCTCAAGTGCCCAAGCCGTCATCCCCATCTCATTCTTTCCAAGCCCACACCCACAGCCCGCGGCCAGGAGCACCCGTGGGCGCCTCAAGGCCAAACGCACCCCCGACCTCTCACCTTTCTGCTTCTTATTGCCCCAACTGAAGCCCCAGAACCCCACCCCACCCCCTTCTCTTCCCTCAGCCTCTCCCCTCTCCGCATTGACCACAGAGACCTGCACCCCATCTCGGGCACATGCCTTCTCCTGCCCCTCCCGCCAGCCAGGCCCTGGCTCCCTGCACACGGTCTGGTCTCACCATCCTGTCTTCTGCTCACAGACCTTTGCTGACTCCCCCGTCGGACGGTCTGTGGCATCAGTTCCCGATTCCTCCTCACAGCAGCCAGCCCCTGCTCAGGTCCAGCCACCGCTGCCAGCTCAGCTCAGCACACTCAGCGGCCCCCACACCCCCGGCCTCCTGGCTTCCCCAAGGCCTGCATTTCCCCTCCCCGCTCCTCCCACCGCCACCCAGAGGGTCAGCTTACATGTCTCCTCCTTCTTTTTCTTTTTTAAAAAACATATCTTTATTGATTTCAGAGAGGAAGGGAGAGGGAGAGAGAGATAGAAACATCCATGATGAGCGAGAATCATGGATCGGCTGCCTCCCGCACGCTCCACACTGGGGGTGGAGCCCACACCCCAGGCCTGTGCCCTGACCGGGAATCGAACCGTGACCTCCTGGTTCCTAGGTTGACGCTCAGCCACTGAGCCACGCCGGCCGGGCTGTCCACCAGTTCTAATGTGATTCCCCCTTTTCTTGTGGGATGAGAGTTAAAATGAATGGAAACCCCAGCCGCCTGCCCTGAGGCCGTGTAATCCCAGGCTGGGCCTCAACTGTCCCCTCTGCACAGTGGGCCGGCCCGGCCCGCCTGCCTCTGGGGCAGATTTTCTGGGAGACAACACACACGCACGCGCACATGCACACGCACGCACACACACACATGCACACATGCGCGCACACGCACGTGCACACGCACACACTCGCATGCACACACGCACACGCACGCGCACGCGCACACTCACGCGCACATGCACGCACACACGCACTCGCACACGCACACACTCACGCGCACATGCACGCACACACGCGCACACTCGCACGCACACACGCGCACACGCACGCACGCACATGCATACACACGGGCACGCACGCACGCACACACGCGCACACGTGCACACTCACGCACGCACACGTGCACACACACACACACACACACACACGCACACAGCGCTATACCCGCCAGCCACCAGCTTCACCGAGCAGGTGCACCACCCACGGTCCCTTTCTTCTCTCTCCCGTTTTCCCGTTTCCTTGGTTTCCCTCCTGGAGGCTCTTTCCCATCTCTCCACCCCCAGGCCCCGGGTGCCCACAGCTCCCTCTCCCCCGAGGGAAGGTCACAGTCCAGCCAGCGGGGAGGCCCGGGCAGGGCCGGCCTCACTTCCTG